TTTTTTTTTTTAGTTTTAGTGGTAGTAGTAATTCGTTCCTGCCGGTTCTGCGGATGCACGAGCAACAACAAAGTCGAGGTCAGGTAACTGCATAATTTCATAAAATTGCATGCGCCGTTTTTGCTTGCATTCGGCTGCCTTCGTTTGCGATGAACGAGCTTTTTGCTTGCTGCTTGCTGCTGCCGTCCACCACCCCCCCGAGGGTGAAGTAAAAAGTTAAATTCTCATTTGCGTGAAAAATTCCGTCTGCATTATAAACGGATGGCATGAATCTTAATAAGGGTATGCACATATACATTTTTTGCAACGAGGCCAACAAAGTATACACATATATTAAAAAAAAAAATAGGAAATGAAAATTATATGCATGCAGGAAATAAAATATTTTCTACTAAAGTAGATTGCAGGATTTATGAAATCCTGAATTATAACGAATCCCTGTCGAATTCTGCTTATCACAATTTGTTGGATAATCCTCTTCGTTTATTCATACTGAAGTGAAGTCAAATATTGATTGATAATTAGGTACTAATAATCTATTACAATTAATATTTTTAATAAACATTTAGAAATAAGTTATTCGTATTTAAATTTTACTAAACTATTAAATAATGATACTTTTTTTTCTAAATATTTCTAAAAAATTAACGCAAATTTCAATGATTCAATTAAAAATATTGAAAAAATCATGTATTTCCAAAATTATTTGGAAATTATATATTCTTTAAAGAATTTTCATCTTAAAAACTTCAAAGAAACGAAAATATTTTATCAAAATTCACCAGTTGTAAAACAAATTAAGACCAATAAAAATTTCAAAATTAAACAATGTAAATTCTAGTTAAATTTTCAGAAAATTTCTGTTTTCTATCATTCATTAATACGAAAATTGTAAATATATAAATTTTATATTTTATAAATCTTGAATAGTTCAGAACAAAAGCTATTAAGTTTTGTATCTTACTAATCTATTAAATAATGATACTTTTTTTTAAATATACGAAAAGATTAACCCAAATTTCAATGATTCAATTAAAAATATTGAAAAAATCATGTATTTCCAAAATTATTTGGAAATTATATATTCTTTAAAGAATTTTCATCTTAAAAACTTCAAAGAAACGAAAATATTTTATCAAAATTCACCAGTTGTAAAACAAATTAAGACCAATAAAAATTTCAAAATTAAATAATTAATTTTCAGAAAATTTCTGTTTTCTATCGCTCATTAATACGAAAATTGTAAATATATAAATTTTATATTTATAAATCTTGAATAGTTCACAACAAAAACTACTAAGTTTTGTATCTTACTAATCTATTAAATAATGATACTTTTTTTTAAATATACGAAAAGATTAACCCAAATTTTAATGATTCAATTAAAATATTGAAAAAATCATGTATTTTCTAGATATTACAAAAAAATAAGATAAGAGGAACTAAAGCATCTTTACTAAAGTCAAGGAAATAATAAACGTAAATTTGCATCTTAAATTCTTCAAAGAAACGAAAATATTTTATCAAAATTCACTAATTTCTTCACCAATTGTAAAACAAATTAAGACCAATAAAAATTTCAAAATTAAATAAATTAATTTTCAGAAAATTTCTGTTTTCTATCGCTCATTAATACGAAAATTGTAAATATATAAATTTTATATTTAATAAATCTTTAAACAGGAAAATTTATTTATTTTTATAGAATTTTTGTTAAAATATTATTATTTATATTTTATTGTAGTAATCACATTAATTCCTACAATTATGAATGAAATAATCAAAAATATTCAGTATATCTGGAATAAATCATAATGAAATTTTATTTCTATACGAATTTCTTTCTTTTTTTTATTCAATTACTTTCAAAATTATATCAATTACCACAAAAAAATATCAAATAATTAAACAAGTTACAGCAGATTCTCAAAGTGTTTTCGTACCTAACACAAATTGTAAAACTAAATTAATTCAAATTTTTTAATTCCAAATAATTTTTTTAGAATTATTGAAATTTCCAAGAAATTATAAGAAGTTTGTTCAGAAAATTGAATTGCTCAATTTAAATTCTATTTTTGTCTTCCAATATCAATGAGTAAATTTTAATTGTTATAAATAATAATTAATTAAATTTTGTTTAAATTTTATCTATTATAAATAAATTGATTTAAAAATATATTACGTAGTTAAATGTCAGCCGAACAAATTTGAACATATTCGTAAAATTTATACGCAAAAAAGGACAGCGCAGAAAATATCGTCGAATGTAATGAATACGAATAAATAAATGATTTAGCGTTGGCAGTCAAATTAAATGCGTAACAAACTCCCCTGTTCCAATGTTCCAATGTTATCGACCATTGTTGTTCGGCGTTACGGAAACACGAATCGAAACAAACCAAAGAAAGGAAAGAAATAATACTCGTTCGTTTTATATATGAAATGAACAACAGTCTGTTCATCAAAATTAATCATTTTCGGGAATTGGAAGAGGTGAAGGTTTTGTTGCAGCATTCGAACGTAATTTAATTGTATTTTGGGGGAGGTTTCGGACGCTTCGACGTGTGTAATAAATCAAACGCGATTAATAGTCCGAGCTAAGTTTCGGGCCGGCACATAAATTTTATAGAGCGAAACGTGCAATTAAAACTACATTTGCTCGTTACAATTATCATTCACGGCGAGGCATTAATCCTTGCCGAGGATTCTTTCCTGTCGTCCTTAATCGACGCGTAATTTGTGGTTTGTGGCTTACATCAATCAAAAAACGTTGATGGGGGAAATCCTTTAAACAGAAACTGCACCAACAGAAAAAAAGAAACACACTCAAGAATCGCTGAAATTCATGTATTCAACTCGCTGTTTTTTTTTCTAAATTTTTAAACAGTTTATTAATTGAAAAGTTTTTGCTTTTTGTTGTTACGAAACGCGTGAATTTCCAAACGTGAAATCGCGCGATATGCGACGTGTTGTCGCGCGCGTCCGGTTTTCGACTGAAGGTCCGGAGCTCGGAGCGCGCGTTGCGTCTGCCCCGGCGCCGGCGTCGCGACGTCGGCCCGTGCCCGCTGGCTGCGTGTATATCATTATGAAATATAGTTCATTTAAATATCCTGCAGGATGTGTCCATCGCCAATCCAACCACCATTACGTCTCAACCCCCTCCTCCAAAAAATATTCTTCCTTTATCCTTCGCGTCGCGCTCATTATATCATCTTTATCTTCAAAAGAAGTTGAGTGTTTTTGGTGGTACAAATAGATTGCCGCATTTTTTTTTTACTTATTTTGTTTCCTTCCTTTAACCGCTTAATTTCCCTCTCCTTAAAGACACTTCATCGAATTTTAAGTTAATAACAACTCCCTTGCATAACCTCGGCTCGGTTTAATGACATCTTCGGGGCGGAATTTATTCAATTACCAAAGTAGGTCCCGAACTCGCTAGAACGGAAAGTTGCTTGCACAGCGAGAACCATTCATTTGCATTACGTTCAATTATATAATTATTACTCGCGATTCGGTTAATCACACGACGATACACAATCATAATAATAAAACAAATTTATTTTTTGATACAAACGAAATAAAAATTTTATAATTCAATGAAATTGTATCTTTTCTTTATAAAATTGATGCTGACGGTTGTTTTATTGAATGATTCCATCAAGAAATGAAATGAAATGAGTCAAATTTGCAACTGACAGTTCAAAACCATAGTAACTGCTGCATATAATAAATATTTATATATCAAGTTAATCGGTTTCCATAGTAACAAGTACACCTTCACCTAATTGGTAGAATAATGTCTTGAGATAATATTCAAAGCAGTTTGTAGTAAAAACAAAAAAGAAAATCCGAAATAAATTAAAATTTTTTAGAACAAAATAAAAATATTATTTTTCATTAAATTATATAATGAGTACTAAATATTTTGTTTAATTGTTAAATCAATTCAATTATTAACCAATAATAAACTTAAAAAATGTAAGTTTATTATTTGTTAATAACTTTTTTTCAGGAATTAAGAAATAATTATTATTAGAAAAAAAAAAGTTTTAAAATAAAATTAATTTAAAAACTTGTTATTTATTTCTTTATATATTTCTCATGGTGTAAATTTTTGTTTTTTATTTATTTATTAATAATTATATTCAGTAATTACAGGAGAAATTATCTAAAATTAAACTATAATAATATATAACAAATAATGTAAAAAAAAATGATCATAAAACTATGTAACTATTAACTCTAACTCTAATTGTTAATTAATCAAACTGAAAACACATAGAGTTAGATGAAAATTTAAAAAAGAATTAAATTTCGTTTAGTAAAATTGAAAAATTAAAATATTTTACGTACAAAAAGTAAATTAAAACTCTAATTATATTCATAATTATAGGAAATTTCAGGAATTATGTATAATTATTATTAGAAAAAAAAGTTTTAAAATATAATCAATTTAAAATCTTGTTATTTATTTCTTTATTTATTTCTCATGATATAATTTTTTGTTTTCTATTTATTTATTAATAATTATAATCTGTAATTTCAGAAGAAATTAGCTAAAATTAAACAATAATCATATTTATAACAATAGTTACAAATAATGTAAAACTATTTAACTATCTCTAATTGTTAATTAATCAAATTGAAAACACATAGAATTAGCGTTAAATAAAAATTTAAAAAGAAATCAATTTCGTTTAGTAAAATTGAAAAATTAAAACTCTAATTATATTTATAATTATAGGAAAACTGGAGGTATACAATGAAAATAAATATGATTAAAATTGAGTTAATTAGTTTTAAATTGATGTATGTTTCAATGGTTTTCAATTAATTTGATTTAGTTTTACTTGCATTAATTAAATGAAATGGAATTTCGTGCGATCAAAATACAAAAAAAAAGTTTAATCTAAATAGGGTAAAGGTGGAAATATTACGATTTTCCCTTTTTATTTTCTATATATTTTTTTTGTTGTTCTGATTACATATTGAGGTGTAAAAGTAAATTTGCATGTGCGCGCTCGATCGATTCCCATTCGTAACCGGAGCGCGTGCAGTAATCAAAGTTGCGGCGAATCGATAAAACGTGATTAAAGTAGTTCTTTTCATTCTGTTCCTTCCACTTCGTCCTTCGTAAACTCCTCCAGTTACGGTGGTGGAGCTCTGTGGTAGTGGTTCCACCATGTATTGGACGCGACACCTCTCACTTTACCACCCTGATTCGTCTTGTAGATGTCCGAGGTCAAATCGACGATGGGCAGAGCCACTCCGACCATGGCGTCCTTCATCTCCGAATTCATCTTTGCATCAACTTCTCCATCGATTACCTGCAACAACAGCAGCAACGAATCCCATTCAATATGCACACCTGATTACACACGTCGTGTGCAAATGATGAGATGCGACAGTAAAGAAACGGGGAGGACGAGCGAAATGTTTACCGGTCTTTTCATGTCCCTCTTTAGTTTAATGGGTGTATTATGGTGGGACGATAAAATGTGATTACTCCTTGAAAAATGCATGGAAATAATGTGTGTATGATGATGTGTGTGTGTGGACGTTGTGTTTCCTTGTAATTTCCCTACGTAACCTCTTATTATTGCATGTGTCCAGAGCATTTGCGGCCGACGAGTATCGATCTATTAGCCACGTATAGGCCAGACCCGAACGCATTTACATAATTTTGCAAATATAATCACATAGTTTTATATAGGAACCCGCATTTATATTTAGATATATTGACCACAATTCACCTATTACTAATAACAAAATATAACTTTATAAATCACTTATTCTAGAATTACCTTGAAGTAATTAGACAAAGTTTTACTATTGGAGAAGTATTAACAAATTTGTATTTAAAATTTAAGAAATGAGATATATTTTTAACTAAAAATAAACACAAAATAATAAGCTATACAATGTCAGAATGTAATTAAACAACTGTAGAATAATTTAATAAACAATTCAGTAGAAAAAGAAGAAAGTAAAACTTACTTTCAATTCCTCTTGCGTAATTAATTTCGCTTCGAGCAGTTTCCGCTTGTAAGTTTCGATCGGATCGGATTTCTTCCTAATCTCCTGGACTTCCTCCCGCTTCCTGTAGCTAGTCCCAGGATCCGACATCGAGTGGCCGAAATATCTGCAGGAAAGAAGAGAAGTAGAAGATGAGGAGGAAAAAAAAATAGGGACGAGACGCAGGAAATCATTACTCGCCTTGGCTGCAGTGGAAGGTAAAGGGACGAACCAAAAATAAAGTAAAAAAAATAGGAACAAGGAGGAATATCGTGGGAGATGAAAGGAATTGGATCGTTTTACTAACCTATAAGTGGACATCTCGAGGATAATAGGTCCTTTGCCGCCGGTTATGTGTTTAATTGCGAACTCTGACGCAGAACGTACAGAAAATAAATCCATGCCATCCACCTGCGAACGTTATCGCAAATATTATGTATTTTGCATTGGAAAATATGTGGGATGGAAATGGTTTTACCCAAACGCCGGGAAGGAATGGTACTTGCTTATAGAACTCGTGGTTTGCGGAGGATCTGCTGACGGATGTTCCCATCGAGTAATTGTTGTTCTCGCACACGAAAATGCAGGGCAAATTCCATAGTTTTGTCATATTGAAAGACTCTGTCACTTGACCCTAATTATAATTAATTATGAAGTGAAAATAATCATGGTTTCACTCAATAATTTTCATACTTGATTTGTAGCTCCATCGCCATAGCATATAAAGGCAATTCCTCCAGTATTTCTGTATTTACAGGCTAATGCAACTCCAGTCCCTAGTGATACCTAAAGTATATAAAAATCAATAAATAAATAAGACCTATTTTTTATATACAATTGAACTACAACCAACTTAAAGCTGCTATAACTTTTGAACTGTTGGCAATGTTGTGTCCATATTTTGTCTAATGATAGCTGATTTTATTGTTTATAAGCCTGCGGAAGCATTTGCATTTCAGTTTTTTGGAAAAAAAGTTATCAGCGATGGAATTCAAACGTAACCAAAACCAAAAGTTAGAGCACTCGAACACCTTAATATGGGTCACCCTGTATAGGAGTAATTACTTGACTACCGACGATTCCTTGTCCACCGTGAAAATGCTTGCAGAACATATGCATCGATCCACCTTTTCCTTTGCTGATGCCATTCGCAAGACCCAAAAGTTCCGAAAAAATATTGTAGATTTTCCCTTTGGACATCAGGTAAGTCCATCCGTGAGCCCTGTACGAAGTGATTGCATGATCGACTGGTCTCATCACCGATTTAATACCCACTGCTATAGCTTCCTAAAAGAGAATATTTAAAATTTATAATAATATCCTAGACTATAATATTTTCATATTAAAATTGACACTATTTGTGCAGATAATTTCAAAAACATACTAGAGACAGAAAAGTAATGTTCTGGAAAAACAATGAGCTTAAAGTGTTTATTTTAGAATTTTTGTAAATTGATTTCAAAATTAAAGTTAAAAATATAAAAATATATTTTGTTACAAATATGTTACTTCAACATAATTTTATGATTTCATGGACGAAAACAAATCTAATATTGATTTCTTGATAATTATAAGTAATGAATATGTTAAATCTAAGACTAATTGCATTGAAAAACGTATTAATTAATATAACATTAAAAAATACATGTTATTTTAGCAAATAAAAAAAAAATTGTAAATATTTTAATCAAAGCTCTGGCACAGAAGAGTAGCTTCTATCTATTCCTTAAGATCCTGAATAGACTGAAATTTCTCTCGACTCATTGAATTGAGGCAATCTAGCGGAAACGGAACGAAAATAAGGTTTTGCGTTGTTTTCAATTTGCATCCGGTCATCGTCTGTTGTTGCACGCCGATTGAACTTTCCGTATGTTAAAGGAGTAATACCAATAAATTCGCCCGGAAAACACACGCTCACATGCACGACCTTACTGTTTTCGTCTTTTTCCTCATTTCGGGAAAGGAGCAGTAGCAACGGTTTTTCCGCTTCGGAATGTGTCTTTGTTTCCGGTCGGTTTGATCGTATTACCACTTATCGGTGACTCGGGATAACACTTTACCTCTCCATTATACAAATGGCAGAAACCCCTTATTGCTTTCTGCATGTACAGTTTCGCAATCCGCAGCTCCAATCTTCGGATGCTCTGCAAGTCCGTGTACAACGAGAGCGCCTCCGTTTTGGTCAACACCACACTCTTCTCCGGTCCAGCATCCAGCTGATACAGCTTGTATTCCTTTTACAATTTAAATTCAAATAGATAGAGATACAGATGAAACTTTCAGATGAACTTTGAATATTTCAGCAGTTAGTTTCATAACTTTCCTTGACTTCTCAAACAGATATTATGGTATAAAACTTTAGTCTTTTTACATTCATTTTTTATTAACAGCATAAAGAAACTTGCAACTATGCATTCTACGTTAAACTAGGTCATCTGAAACTATTGTAATACTTATTTTAATTAGTTATATTAAATATTGAAATTTAGTTGTAACAGAAAATGTCTGTTTCAAAGAGAAATATCTATGATAAGAGAGATAAAGAATATCCACTTACCGAAGTGTTAAATGTGGCCTGAAATCGAATTCCATTTCGAAACTGTAAAGTAAAAATGAGAAAAACTAACGTTTTATCGTGCGACTAAGTTAAATTGCATCGTCTTACTTGAATCTTCTGCAAAATCTTGAAAATCATCTCTATATTCAAACGATAAATGGAACGTCAAAACTATCAGTCATTTATTAATTTAATACTTTAACCTCTTATTTTAAATTTAAAAATATTTTGTAGCAAATTTAACACAATCGTCATTTAAACCCTTAAATATCTCGATCTAAGAAAAAAAATGGGCTTATACCACTTTCAAAAAATAACGGTTCATTAGTTTATATTTCAATGATTATATTTATTTTTTATTTAAAAAAAAGTAATTCTCATCAAATTCAATTATATTTTGTTTAAATAATAGCTTGTAACTCATATATCTTACATAATATTAAAATTAACTAAATTCAATCAACTTTAGCGATATTTGAAATGTTAACGTAGGCAACTAAACGTACACATATTATTTTATAATATATTTTTAAAACTTATCTAATGTCTTATGAGTAATTAACGATTTGCATATGTGATATATTTATGTAATATAAATAAAAAATAAGTAATCTTCTTAAAATTCTCCAAAACACAACAATCCAATTAGAATCTTAAAATGAAAATACAACAATCCAATTGGAAAAAGACTAAAACTAATGTCTGATTCATGAGAAATGTTGTTTCCTTATAATTGAAAATTTTGCTTTTTTGAACAAGATATTAGATTGAAAATAGTTGCATTTGTATAAATAATTTAGAAAACAAAGTATATAAAAGAAATGAAGAAATAAAAATGTAAGGGAATTTTTTTAATCTTAATATTTATATCAAGCATTCTAACGTTTACTGCAAATTGTAACCTTTGACCAAATAATATTTAGATTTATGATTTTATATCGCAGTTTATGTGTTCTTCTATTATTGGCCAAAATAAAGTTTTGTTATATAATTTCAATCTAAAAAAAAGTAGTGTTTTGAAATTGGATTTTATAATAATCGTAATACTCATAAGAAGTGTTGTGTCCAACCGTTATTATTACAATTATTATTGTTAATATAGTTGTTTAGTTAATTTTATACGTAGAATAAGTATTTGTAATTAGTCTTAGGAAGTACGCTAAAGAAACAACTACTGAGTGAAGAACTACAATAAAGCAAACACTTTGAAGAATATTTTAATAATAAACAACAAGTAAAACTCGTTCAATTTATTATTGACCAAACCTAAGGCTCCACAACACACAACAGAAGAGGATATTCAACAGTGTCCAGAAATTCACCCCTGGGACACGACAGAAGTATTGAAAAATTTGTTACTTTTTAATAATAATTTAAGTTTCTCCTCTTTATGATTATTTTCATAAATATTAACTATTTTTAAGTTAATTCTATTTAATTAATAAATAATGAAGTGCAACTATTGCAACTATTTTTTTGTTTTAAATTTATTACCAGAAACATCTTAGTTAACTATAGAAATTAGCATTAGATTTGAAGGGGAGAATGAGGAATGTAGTAAATAAAAATACGTTCATGTTATGTTTACTGAAAGCTTTTATTTATGTTTCAATTCGACCATAGTTATTCATGTTTATTTATATATTATTATTATATTTATTCATTTATTTATGTTATTTATTTTTTTTTCCCGAATTATTTTATTCATGGTATGTATGTAATATTGTTTGATACACATGTTTACATAATAGTTTTCATTTTTCAATATATATTCATATAATTCACATTGAGTTCATTCAAAACAATCGAATCATAAATATTACAATAAATTGATTTAATAAAGTAGCTCGCAGAAGGGGCGCCGCGAGTGCATCGAATCCTGCCATCGTCTTCATGCAGCCTGACCACAAGACCCATGAAGACGACCAAAGAAAATGCAACTCGCAGACCCGAACGCAAGGTTTTTAAGCTAGCTACACACTAAATTTAATTTATTCTTCACAATAACTCATCGTACCATTTCAGTGTATAATAATAATATTAAGAATATTGGGTGTGTCGCAATTTGTCGTAGTTGTTGTAGTTTCTTTTTTTTTTGAATGTCTCATTAGATCGGGTTTGCTTATTTTTTTTTTTCATGCTTCAATTGTTTTTTTTTACAATGAAAAGTTTTCCCTATCTAGAAGGTCCAGTAATAATAACTTATAAAAATACATCCTTAACAAATATATATTTATTTTTAACAAGATTAAAATAGATAAGACGAATAAAGCTGGATAAGCTGTACATGAACTTACAAAAAGCCGTCACTAATCAATATATATATGTGTATATTTATATTAATATATATATTTATTTATGTTTCATCTCAACATTCATCATATTTTTGTAAGTTATCATCACTCCCATTCGTTCAGATCGCTTTTCGAAGGCGAAGCCAAACGAATTCCATCGATTCTTAAGTACGTTTCTTCGGATCAAGCAATCGCCTTTCGTGTAAATAAATTATATAAGAAAATAATTAACGAGCAAATCATCGCGGTTAAACCGAAAGGCGGCTGCTTCATGCTCGCGCTCATTTTACATAAATATTACTTTAACCATCAATATAAATAAAAATAACTTAACTAGTGTACATCCTTATTTTATTATACTATTCCTATAGAGAGAGAAAAAAAAATATAGAAATCCAAATATTTGTATCCAAAAAATAGATAAATTGGTAGGATTCGTTTCGTCCAAAAAAAAAACTTTTTTGTTTTGGGTACGGATTTGCCGGAATCTGTCGTGGGCGGGTTTCAGTTTCAGTTTCGTTTATTTTTTTTTGTTTGTTTTTCTTCTTTGCTAAAGCTAAATGCTACGAGACTAAAAAGTACATTGATTTTCTTCATCGAGAGAACAACAACAAAAAAAAAATCATATTGAAGCGTGTTGTTGTTGTTTGTCTGTGTTCGAATTGGTGAGGTTTCTCTTTTTAGATAGGATGTGATGTGTGGAACGTGTAGAGTTGAGAGACTTCTTCAGAATTAGTTTACTTCTTGCTCTCCTTCTCCATTTCCCTCAGCAACTCCTTCATTTCGTCGGAAAGCTGATGCTGGTCGTAGAACCTTTGGAAAGAAAATAATGCAATTAGAATTACTTAACTTGATGAATGTAGAGGAGAGAAAGTGAGAGTACTTACTGCGAGTGTTCTGGTGGCGTCGCGGCGCGGGCTTCGTCCTTCTCTGCTTGTAGATTAAAAAAAAGGAACACATAAGAAATTAGTGTACGAATTGTTGCGGAGTAAATACAGCAAGTGACACGCGCCATTCCGAGGATAGAAAAAATGTGCGAATTTACATAGCATGAAAAATAAATAAAATAAAAATAAATATGGGGGGGGAGGTAAACATTCAATATTTCTAACTAGAAAAAGAAAATGAAGTATTGTTGCCTGATCAACTTTTTGGTTGTTGCAAACGTGCGATTTATGTACTTTTTTCGTGTATGATTTGGAAATAAATATTTGAAATTGTAATTAAATCAAAATATGGACTAAAGCTACAAACAGAGATTCATAGATTGAAGAATTGAGGAAGAAGAAGCTGATGAAATGAATGTCTAATATGTAGACTTGAATCGGAGATTTTGTAATGAAAAATGTTGAAAAGTGGGGGTGGTCGGGTCTGGCAACACTCATGCTCATACTTTAGATAAACTTGTAAAGTAGTGATAATTATAATAAAAGTTCTTTCGATATATATATATATATATATGTAAAATATAAGAAATTGAACATTGGGAACATTGATTTTATCTACCATAATGTGGTAAATTAAACCGCCAGTCGTGTTCCCTTGGATCTACTTCAATCATACTCTGGTCGTCTAAACTGATTTCAAGCGGCAACGGACGTCTACGAGCTGTTT